AGTGCTATCAGAACTGTATCACACTTTTTTATGTAGCATCTTCATAATTTTTGAGTGGAAAATATGTTATATTTCTATTGTGATATCTTTTATCCTTCAGTTATTTTTAAATGTTTTTCTTAATTTTGTGCCATTTGGGAATTTTCTAGCAATCTTATTAACTTTAATTCTATTATGGTCAGACAAGATGCTCTGAATTATGTCAGTCTTTGCAGAATTTTGTAAGCATTTTGTGCTCTTGAAAAAAATTTATAGCCTATACGTATTAAGTATAATTTCTAGATGTGTCAGGAGATTAAGTTTGTTAATTACGTTGTTAAAATCTGTGTACTTACAGCTTATTCTATCAGTTGAAAAAGATTTTTTAAAGTCTGCTAGTGAGACTATACATTTGTTTCCTATTTAGTTCATTTAATTTTTTTCTTTCTGTATTTGAAGCTATGTTATTATGTAAATACAAAGTTCTAATTGTTATCTTTATGGTAAATTGGCTTTTGTCATTATGAAGTATCTCGTTTCTTAATGGTTTTTGCCTTAAAGTCTGTTTTGTCTGATGTTAATATCACTACAGCATCTTTCTTTTGGTTGTTGTTTGTATGGTATATCTTTTTTCATCTGCTCACTTTCACCTTCTGTGTATTCTTGTACTTTTTGTCTTTATTTTATAAGTAGTATGTTGTTAATTTTTTTTTTTTTTTTTTTTGAGACTGAGTTTCGCTCTTGCCGCCCAGGTTGGAGTGCAATGACGCAATCTCAGCTCACCACAAACTCTGCCTCCTGGGTTCAAGTGATTCTCCTGCCTCAGCCTCCCAAGTAGCTGGGATTACAGGCATCTGCTACCATGTCCAGCTAATTTTCCATTTTTAGTAGAGACGGGGTTTTACCATGCTGGCCAGGTTGGTCTCGATCTCTTGACCTCAAGTGATCCACCCGCCTTGGCCTCCCAAAGTACTGGGATTACAGGCGTGAGCCACTGCGCCTGGCCTATTGTTAATATTTTAACCAATCTGACAGTTCCTGTCTTTTGGAGTGTTCAGTCTATTTATACATAGTACATTTACATTTAACTGTGAAAGCATTTTGCCCATTCTGTATTCTTTTTCTTTCCATTCATGCCTTTCTTTAGATTATCACCTTTTATTGTTCTATTTGCCCTCTCTGATCACTTGGTAATCATAACATTTTAAATTATTTGTTCAGTGATTAACCCTGAGATGAAAGTCTGCATCCGTGATTCAATAGTTATATATAGGTTTTTCCCTCTTCCCAAGCAATAAAAGGATCTTAGAACAGCTTATTCCATTTAACCTCACATACATTATTGAAATTATATATTTTAATTCTATATATGTCAAATCACGTAAAATATTATTATTATGCTTTGTGCAGTCAATGTTCATTTAAACTTACCCACGTTTTTGCCTTTCCTTTCTCTTTGTGTTTTTCAATGCTGAACTTGTATCTGAGATTCTTTTTCTTCTGCCTAAAAAACACTCTTTAATATTTCCTTTTACTCAGATATACTTGTGCCATACTCTCTTTTGTTTTTCTTTTTTATTTTTTTCTTTTGAGATGGAGTTTTGCTCTTGTTGCCCAGGCTGGAGTGCAATGCACGATCTTGGCTCACTACAACCTCCATCTCCCAGGTTCAAGCGATTCTCCTTCCTCAGCCTCCCGAGTAGCTGGGATTGCAAGCATATGCCACCATGCCAGGCTAATTTTGTATTTTTAGGAGAGACGGGGTTTCTCCATGTTGGTCAGGCCAGCCTCGAACTCCTAGCCTCATGAGATCTGCCCACCTCGGCCTCCCAAAGTGCTGGGATTACAGGCGTGAGCCACCATGCCTAGCCTCTTCTCTTTTTTTTTCTAAAAATATTTTCATTTGACCTTCATTTTGGGAGGATATTTTTGGTAAGCTTGGAATTTTAGATTTGCGGTTACATTCTTTCAGCATTTCAAAGGTATCATTTGTTGTTTTCTGTCTTATGTAGAACCTGTTGAGAAGTGAACCATCTGTCTAAACTTTTATATAAAAGGCAAGGCAGCAACATTTTCAGCTTTGCTGGATCATAAGGACTCTCTGCTGCAACTACTCCACTCTGCCATTTTAGCACCAAGGAATCCATAGGCAACACATTAACTAAGTAGTGCGGTTGTGCTCCACTAAAACTTCACTTACGGACTCTGAAATTTGAATTTCATACACTTTTAATGTGTCACAGCATCATTCTTTTCATATATTTTTCAACCACTTTAAATGT